ATCTGTTATTTAAATTAGAATTTGTTTGTTAGCTGAAGAGGAAATTCTTTTGGGGGATAAGTATGTTGAATCATAACTGATTGAAATATGGACTTGAATGTATTATTCAAGTGAAGTTTAACGACAATGGTTTTCTGAATTGAAAGTGTTTATATTGAAGTTGGATAGAAGATCCTTTCTGATTATTGTGAGTCAGTATGTATTTAACCAATGGATGCACGTGTTGGCTCTCGAGCTGGAGAAATATATTTATGCTGCTTTTCATCTATAATTTGGCATTTTCGGTTGAATGGTTTGTGCACATCTGTTGATATGCAAATTATATATGATAACTAATGTACTATTGATATATTTCATGTGATGCTGACAGGTCCTGTTGGCGAGGATATGTTTCACTGGCAAGCAACGATAATGGGTCCTCAAGATAGCCCTTATGCTGGGGGAGTTTTTCTGGTCACTATTCATTTCCCACCTGACTACCCATTCAAACCACCAAAGGTGTGCTTGAAATGACTTTATCTTGGACCTGTTCCGTTCCAGTTTCCAATTTATAATCCACTAAATAAGTATTTTAAACATATGCTGGTGAGCTACTTTATGGATCTATTTGCTTGCAGTCATTTCATTTGATGCATATGTATGTGCAGACACAAATAACATTTGGCATTCAATAATTTAACTATCATTTAGAAGTTCACAGATATTAGAAGTTCCCACCAATGGTGTAAGTTATTAACTGATGATACATGCTAAATGATGAGAATATTGCGTGCAACTAGGAGATGACGCTGGGTTTTAAAATTATTTCTATGTGGAAAATCGTTGAGTAAGTGTAGTAAAAAAGTCGTTATTGTACTATAGTTGACAAGAAAAGAATGCATATGTCAGATTTTAGGGGCTGTTGATTCTATTGTTGTTTTGTATACGGCCTGTGATACTACGAATTCTCTTCAATCCTTAACCATTGTTACCTTACTAATATAGTTATCGTTGTGTCCCTCATCCCTTTTGTATGTCTTTTCTTGTTTCATCCTTTATGTTGTGTAATCACCCTAGAACTTCATTTTGCCTCTCATGTATATGAATTTGACATCACAAATTGCTTAAGCTACTAAAGAACTTCAAACATATATGTGATCCCTTACCTTTACCATGGTTATAACAAATTAGAATCTTAAGGGATAAGTTAAGTTTAGGATAGTTGAGAGTGCAATTCGTAGCAAATTAAAGCAGAGCCGGGTAAATCTGTTGCTACAAGATTGCTGGGAGCTCTGTTGTCAGCAGGGTTGCCTTCAGGCTTCACCTACAACCTAATTTTGAAGCAGTGGACAGTCTGATGTAATTCGGTTCTTTTGTCTTATTATTTTGTGATTCCTGACATGTTATTTTGACTTTTCTTTGGTGCTGGTGCACCATCATTAATCATTATGTTCGTATTGGTGTTAAAGTTTGTTAGGAAGTGTACCTGGGGATTGCTGTGTGCTCTATAGCCATTTGCTTCCTTCAAACTTCAAGTCCGAGTAACATCTGTTCATATGTGGAATAGTATTTTAACTTTGCACAATATTAATCTTCCTTCGTTTGTGAATACGATTGTTGCAGGTTGCATTCAGGACTAAAGTCTTTCACCCAAATATTAACAGCAATGGGAGTATTTGCCTTGATATCTTGAAGGAGCAGTGGAGCCCTGCCTTGACCATTTCAAAGGTTACTTTTTCTTATCCCTCTCCTCCCGTTTGATAAACTTTGGGGTTGTTCATTACACTATCCACCCTCTGATTTTTCCGTCTGCGGACAAACTGTATTTACGTTATGCATTAAACATACCGTAGCAATTATTTTACTAGAACAACTTTCATCTATATGTGATTCGAGCAGACGCTCATGATCAGGTTGTCTGGTAGAGTGGACTTAAAGTGCAAGTTCTAGTTTTTCTATGTTCGCAAATGTGCTTCAAGACAGCGTTGGAAAAGCGATTGGACATTTTATTTTCCTAACTGTTTTTTTTTTTTTTTTGAGCTCTCAAAATGACAATTTTTTTACTTTTGTGTATCTTCAGGTCTTGCTCTCTATATGCTCGCTTTTGACGGACCCAAACCCCGATGATCCACTGGTGCCAGAGATAGCTCATATGTACAAGACGGACCGGACTAAGTACGAGCAAACTGCAAGGAGCTGGACCCAGAAGTACGCCATGGGTTAAAGACCTTATCTTCGAAATTTGAATTATGTGAAAATAATGTACCATTTTCTGTCTGCTTGTGCTTGTATTGGAGTACTCTAGACTAAAATCTCTTCATCTCATTGAAGGACAAATTTGTTTATGTTTTTATTTAAATTGCCCTCTTAGGGGACACCAAACTGTTGATCATACATATGGACTCATTTCTTAGGGAAGTTTGAATGTTGTTTTTGTTAGATTGGTGTTTAACGTGGAGTTTCTTGCTCCTTAGTTTTTGACTACAAGACAAATCAAATCTAGCTCTTGAAAAGGTTATAGCTCTGACAGAAATCCTTAAAACTAGGAGCAACCACTGTTGATTTTGCTTTGTTGGTGATACTTAAGTGTACATTTTTTTTTTTCCCCTTCTTAAATGATTAAGGCTATGTTTGCTTGAGCTGACGGGATTAGACTAAATTTATCTCATTTCATAAGATTGCACTGTTATGATTTTTTCCATCTCTTGTTTGTTAGCTTGATAGGGTTTTGTTTGAATAAATACTGAAATTAGTGAAATGTCCAAAATGTACAAATAATATTTTCTTCTCTTTATTTTTTTTTCTCCATTCTTTCCTCTATCCTGCCTCACCATTTCCTTTTCATTTTCGTCTGGACCTCAACAACTTATTTCCATTTTTTGATCTTTTCATTTATTTCTCTTCAGGTTGATAGTTTTATTTTTTTTATCTCCCATTTTTTCCTTTATCCTTTTTTTCTTTATTTCTTCATCAATATTTCTTTCTTTCCCTCCTCTTTTATCATATTTTTGTAGTTGCCCGATGTTTCTTCTTCAATGTTTCTAGTCCAATCACAAAGCTCACACCGAGAATTGTCAATTGAAGTGTAAGTTGCCCGATGGAGGCGGATTTTCGCCGTTGAAGATCCGAACAAGCGGTGGGGAAATTGGAAATCAACTCAAAATTGAAGCTAGAGTTACATAATTGAAAGATGAAATGAAGATGAAAAAGTCCAGAAAAGACGAAAGAAGAAAAAATTGAGAACTATGGCAGGAAAGAAAAAAAATGGCGAAAAAGAGTCCAGAAAAGATGAAAGAAGATGAAGAAAAGAGTGGGGTGCGGGGGCAAATTGGTCATTTCTTTATTCTGTAAAGGTGGGATAAAAAATATCTCACATCTTCCTCGAGATCGAATTATCATACATACGCAAGATTAATTTATTTAGTAGCGGGCCAAAATTTTTTTTGCGGGCCTGGGTCTGTCTCACCAAACGTCGGATAAGGCCGGGATTGAGGGTGTTATCCTATCTAATCTACCCTATCAAACACGCCCTAAGAGTGTAGGAGAGGGATAAAAAGGTAAAGGAGAATGCACTCGGCCAGTCATGCATGCTGGCTCGATATAAGACCCGCCATGGTGGAGAGTAGAACTGGCTTGGGCTACTTTTGGGCCCATTAGATTTTAGGCGCACCAAGCTTGGATCTACATGTCCACCCAACTTTGAGCCCGCAACAGCTCACCCATTTACGCTTTTAAGGTGAGTGTCTTCTTCTTCATTTTACTTTATATCTTTTAGGTTATTTGTGGTGGGGGAGTTGTTGAGAGTAATGGGTCCGTGGCTATTTTGTTGTGTAATTGTACCAAACATGTATCATGTTACTGTCATGTCAGAGGCTGCTGCTTAGGATGTCTATAAAGTGTGAAAGTGGGCCTTGAGCCCACCACCCATACCTAATTAGACCCTTTAGGCCCTATCTGTCTTCTAAGCGGCCCACCTCAGTACAGATCTACAGCTGATAAACAACTTTCACCAACAAAACAATTTAGACAAGGTAATCCTCTGTCACTATGATTAGAAAATAAATTTGATGAGCAAAAAACATGGTGAAAAACTTGGTAACTCTTTATATGAGCATCTATGAGGAACGCACATGGGTACGATATATTAAGAACACGGGTAAGTCATTATAGTTACATTTTATATACAATTGTACATGCTTGTATTATAAAAATATAAATTTTGTTATTTATTTACAACCAAAAGTTAAATGTTCCATTGTACAAACGTTATATTTTATAAATGATCATATATAAAAAGTATACCATGATTTGAAAAAAATGTATGTAATTGAAAAATCAACATTATATATATTCTTTTAAAATGAATAGTTTTATGAAATCTTGGATTAAGTATCATATAGGATATACGAGTCCAGTACGGGTACCTCAACCTCACAGAAGTGTCCGTTCTTCCTACATGAGAATCAATTAGACTCGAGTTTGTATTGTGTTGTGAAAAATTAATCCTTTGCATTTTTCTCTTTTATTAAAGAGACAATAGAAAAAGGTGTAACACTAGTGAAAACTTATTCCACTTCATTTTTCTCTTTTAAAGAGATGATAAAAAAGGTGAAGAAAAAAAAAAAGGCAGAGAGAGACATCGGCCGGCCTAGATTTCTACTAGTTTTAGCTAAAAATGGTGGTACCCCCATTTGTTTTTAGTTCCACAAATGAAAAGTATTTTATCCGAAACTTTTTAAGCATCACTTACTTTCGAGTGAGTTGTTTCTGATTAACAAAAAGGGTGAAGAATCAACTGATAGCAAGTTATGACATTGAAAGATGTATGTTTTGCTGGTTAGATTCAAATTTATGGTATGTTAATTTTCTGCAACATTAGGTGACGACTGACATATTAGTTCATGCCAGACTGGTTAGTTATAAATACAGAAGAAAATTACATAAAAATGACAGTCCATGAGGGTAAAAATAGACTTTACCTTAAATGTTTTTTTTTTCAATGGAACTCACTTTTGCACCTGTGATCATTTCTTGGAAATCCCATGATTCTCAAATCTCAAAAGAACATTGGATCTATAACATTATATTATTGCCTATATTATGCTTTTGCCATGATCTAAAAGCTTCATGCCCTGGATAATNCATGTTCAGTGCTCGATGATCCAATTATCTACATTATCCTTCATAAAAGTTGCAGCACACGTGATCAATCACAAAATTCCATAAAAATATGATCATAGTATGATTCATATGAATATCCGTATTGTTATATTTAATAAAAAGCTAAAATATATATAAGCTAATGTTATTTTGTTTATTAGTCAATAACAAATGCATTCACTTACCAAATATGTTACATTCCAACTGTGCAAGGTTTAGGCAAGAGCATTTTTAAAGTGAATTGCCTAATGAAATAAAGTGCTTTGGTCTCCCAAATAACATAATTATATATATTCCAATGTGATTTTGTTTGACTTTGATATTTGGATAATGGTAGGTATATCAAAACATGACGGTCACGTCTGAGTTTGATTGAGTCTACTATGAAAGACCAATGGTTGAAGTTATATTATTTGTTAATAATTGAGTTCTAATTGTGTGTTAATTGTATTTTAATTATCTTCTCTGTTTGTGGTCATGAGGCAAAAATTTATAGATCCAAGAATCCAAAGATGCTTTGAGTAATTCTGAATAAAAAAAACAGTAGGTCTTGGAATCAGATGCACTTTTTTTTAGTATTTAATTAGAGATTCGGTATTTTTATATTGAAAATAAAAAATAATATTAGTGAGTTTTCTATCTTTTTTCCCTCCTCATCCAATGGTTGTTTTTAGATGAAAGAATGTGGGCTATTTTATTCATAATTATTTAAGATGACTTCCCTATTTAATTCATCATATGTGAGCTATTTTGTCTTAATTATTGCAAAGATTAAAAAAAGAAAAAGCTTTCACCTAAGATATGTGATTGCATTAATTTTAATTATTTTTATTGGGAGGAAATGATGGTTAGTATCAAACTGGTTTTTGAAGTTGATAAACCACTCACCAATCCACTGTAAGGGCACCTGCATCGCGGGAATTATTTGCCCGTTTAAACGCGCCACTCCCGTTCAACATGGATGTGAGGCATCCATTATATGGGGGGCCCCATTTGGCCGTTCATTGCATTGAACGGCTTGGTGTCTATTTTTTTTCTTTTATTTTTTTTGTTTTGTTTTCAATTAATTTGTTTATTTTTGTTTTGTTTTGTTTTAAATTAATTATTTTTTTTATTTTGTAATCTTAATTTATGTCTTTTTAAATCTGATAATATTTAGTGTATTTTAAAATTTAAAATTAAATATTATAATTAAAAAATATATTTATTTTGTTAATAATAAAATATAAAAATAGTATTGAATGAGTGGATGATGGGTCCCATATGTTTGTGTTTAAATGAATGATTGAATGTGGGTGTGTGTTTTAATGGAGAGATGTTTAGTGGAAAGATGATGTGGAGGTGATGTGGATGAGAGAAAGTGTAAATTGTGATTGAATGAATGTTAAGGGATGTAGATGCCCTAAGTACATTAAGATATGTCTGTCAGTTACCACATTTAAAGAATTATTGATTTTTAGTTACATACTCATCATCGTATATGATAATATGTAATGTTAATTTTCAGTCACACTCACACCAATTAGTGGACACAATGATCTGTACAAGAGCAAAATTGATAACTGTGTTGATTGCATACTTGTCAAATGTTGATTTAACAATGCATTCGGTATGATAAAATAGAGGAACTCAGGAAAGTATAATCCTCCCATGAAAAAAAAAATGGCAATAATAAAAGAAAAGGGTAGCAATAGCATGCTATAACTATACAATGAGCCTTGAGCAACCTTTCTGTGAAATCAATGAGTATTGGGACCATTTTCAAAAGCATTCATGAGAGCCCAAATTGTGTATGTGTGTGTTTTTAGTTTTCTTCCTCTTTCTGCGATGCACTCTAATTAAAAAAAATAGGAACTATCTTTTTTTTTTTTTTCAATAAAATATTCTTGTTTTTTTTTTCATTTTTTTTTCTCTTTGCTTCAACATTTCTACACAATTAACCAACTAATTAAGCAGAGTGTTTACCTATATGTTATAATCAAAGTATTGTTTTATAATGTTCAACAATGTTAATATAAAATCACTTTGTGTAATTAGTATAATTAACCTCTTGTGTATAGGCCATAAGCATAACCTAGAGGGTTTATGATGATCATTATGCATATGTACTAAGGCATGATCTCATGGTCCATGCTTGCCTAGCATCGTCCCATGTAAGAATCTAGCCTTCTTTTTAATTTGGAGCGGTGGATTATTTTATAAGAAGCAATCTAATCACGTTTAATCAGTGTATGGATACAATGTATGAGTTATTTATTCCTTGATTACCACTGTATGATACAAGCATGATGTGACATAATTGTCACATTAACTTGAACATAATTTTTTGTGTGGGAGTCAGTTTAACTGTTAGACGGATCGGTTTGTCATATATTTTTAATAAAATTGCATGGTTATGATATGAAATGTCGCACTATTAATTAATTATATTGTTATTTAGAGTACATTTTTTGAGTTGAATGTATGCATATGATATGTTGAAATAGTATAAGCAATACCCAACTATTAGACTTGGATTGCATAACAATAGCATTACTGAAATTTGAATGATTTACAACTGTACAAGCGTAATTCATGCAATGTAATTAAACAGTAATTGAAAGAGAGAATTGTTTATTTAATATTCAACACGTTAGATTGAATGGTGATTTTGATAGTATTTACAAAAGGTGTCTATCAGTATCGTTGATATTTATGAATACATTTACCATATGGTTTAAGTATTTACAGCTCAACCAACCAAAATAAATAAAATTAAATTCAGTATATATGAGTATTGTAATAACTCAACCATAGACTTTTTGGTTTCATGAGATAGCGTAAATTTAAGCAATTTGCTGGCAATTGGTATGCTGATTTTTCTCAGTTACGGGCTATAAACGAGAAATTAAATCAGTTTATGGTGATAGGTAGATTGAGAGCATCACCGGTTTTTGCTTGGATTACAAGTCTTGCAATGGTCAAAATTTTGACTTGTGTCTACGAAATGATTCAAAAAGAAAAGCCCCTTGTCGAGATTGAATTTGATTGTCTATGAATAATTTTTCTTTTTAAGTGTGGCTGTGTGGGATCTTTTGGGAATATAATGATTTAATGAACAAATAGAAGTACTTTAAGAAAAAAAAGTTTTATTTTGTTACGCTTTTAGGAAATTCAAAAATTGGGATTGGTCTAAAATATAGGTGTAATAATTTAAAGTATTGTGATGTAAAAAAAGTAAATTATTTGTTAATAGTTAAAGAAATATATGAATATAGAAATGATAAATTTTATTAATAAATGTGTGGCTATTATTACATTTTATTTATTATTGTATTAATAAATTTATTTAAGTCAAAGTGCCAAGAGTGAATAGTTTTTTTTTGGTAAGTAAACACTTGGTTTTTTTTGTTTGATATCCAAATGCACGGACACCTGTCATATTTTGTTCAAGAAAAATATGTTTTATATTAGATTATCTAATACTTACATTGTGCAATCATAATTTTTAATAAATTTATATATTTTTATATTCAAATATTATATTTTAAAATACAATATAAATACAAAATGATATTTCATAGCCTACCAATTATTATACTTCATGAAACCATCTAAACAAAAAAAAAAGATCTTCCAAAGTATATGTATATGTATGATTTTCCTTAACAAATTGTGAATACTTGACATTTAGGCAACGGAAAAAAAAAAAGTGATGTGAATAAATTAGTGTATCTGAATTATAGGGGAATTGGCACGAGCCTCATGATATTGCAATAGTGTTTGGTCAATTTGGTATAAAGTCAATTTTTATTTTTATTTTTTTAGGTGACCAATTAATCGCAATTGCCTCCGCTTAATTAGGCGAAGAAAATAAAAACCGAAATAAAAAGGGAAAAAAACAATACCAAAATCCAGATCATTATCCATCAAACATTCTCCCTCTCTCTCGCTCTCGCTCGCTCAGTGTGCGCGTAAAAACAGAGGCGCCGGCCACACGCAACTCAGCTCAAACCGAACCTCCATATTTATAGTGAGAGAAAGCTCGATTTAAGCTCGGCACGTACGGATGCGTATGTAAATGTAGAGAAAATGAGCACATGTGCCGCCATTTTCATCGCACCCTAACAAGCTATTCATAGTCTCAGCATTCTTCAACGGTGTGTTAATGTCTGCTGTGCAGATGAAATGCGTTTTCACTTTTTTTTCTTTGCTTTTTTCTTCATTTTATGTGTGATAGATCTTGAAATGAATATTCCTTTTCTTGACAGCAAACGGTTCGAGAAAGCGGCGGCGGTTGATTCAAATCCCGCTTCCGTCTGCATTCGGTATCCGTTTTTTCTTCGGAGAAGTTGAAAATCGGAGGATCAGTTATAACGGAGTGAGTGACGGCGGGGAAATGGATGATAGAGGTGGTGGAGGAGGATCGTTTGTCGCGGTGCGGCGTATTTCCCAGGGGCTCGATCGAGGAAACGCGTGCCATTCTACTTCTGGTATATTGCTTTGAGTTTGTAATGGTTTTTGATGCGCTATCTCTAGTGTTTCTTTCTCTCTCTAATTTTTTTTTTCTTTTTTTTTTTCTCATTTTTACCTAACTTTTATGTATTCTGATTTTCGTCTCCGTGTCAACTGTCTTTGTGATATAAATGTATCCTATCCTATAATTTGTACGGAAATCTGAAGTGCATGTTGAAGAATAACTGAATCGAGGAAGTTGTGTTCATTGATGCCTACTAGAGCTGAGATATTTGATTGGTTTTCTTTGTCGTTTGTTCTTTGTCCTGAATTTGTTGATATGCATTGAAATGCACAGCAATTTTCTGAACTTGGTGTCTTGTAATTTTTCCCCTTTTATCAGCAATTGGGCTTACTTGTTACGAGTTCTGTGTTATTACTTCATTTTAAGAAATTTCATTGACTCAATAAAATATTAACTGATTTCTGTTTGGGTAAGATTTTAATATCTATTATGTTCGTATGGAATTAGTGAATTTTGTGGTCATATATGTTTCATTACCTTTGCTTGCATTTCGTCCTTCACAAACATGCTCTGCTGTTTTTGCTTTCCTTTTATTTTGGCTTTTGTGTTTGGTTTATTTAATTTGGATATGATATATCATACATAGAATTTTTTTTTTTTCCAATCATTTGACAGGTTTTCGGTAGTGATGAGCAAGTGGACTTGGAACATATTTTTGTAAACATTGTTTTGTTTAACACTGATTATAAGTAGAAAAGAGTGTATATGTCTATATGATCGAGGTTTAAAATTTCATGAGGTCTATGTGTTTTAAGCTTTAACTATTCAATTGAAGGTGTTCTGTAATTTCATGTAAACAGAACATGATTTTTTCCATGCCTACTTGGAGAAAAAATGATTCTAGATGTACTTTTACTGCCACATCATTTCAGAAGGAACTGGGAATAGAGTCATAATATATCACATTTGTTTATTTTTGCCAATCATTTTCTTTTGTTATAGTGGAAGTTGTGACAGGATCTGCTGCATGGCTAGGCAGAGGGCTTTCATGTGTTTGTGTTCAAGGAAGAGACTGTGATGCTCGCCCATCATTTGATTTGACACCCGCACAGGTAATGTTCTGTTGTTTTGACTTCCTTGAAATATGGTTTTTGTTGTTTATCTACGGCTCGGTTCATATTGCACCATGCTCTACATGTCGTTTAGAAGCTAACTTGGAAGTGCTGTTTAGTATTGTTTATTTTTTTGTAATGATCATGTTGTGTATGTTCAGAGTACCCTAATTTATAATTTAATCTGTCCAACGGGTTGGAACAGAAAAATAAAGTCAAAACGTGGCTTAGCAATAATTATCCATAGCCTGTGCGACACTTATCTACTTTTCACACTTTGGTCTTGCATATATGTCTCGTTTTATCAGTTGACCCCTATTTAAAGTGTGCCTATTAGCATTTTATTAGTATTTTGCCGTTAATTTCCCACAATTGATGCCTACCTAAAATAGACTCTGATGTTTCTGAATTGCTCTATGCATCAGGAGGAATGCTTGCATAGGCTACAGAACCGGATAGATGTGAACTATGATAGTTCTGTTTCAGAACATCAGGTACAGTTCTGAAATTGTAAATGGAGAGTTACTACTAGTTTTAGTGCCACTTTCTCATCAAATCAGGAACATTTTGTTTATAGGAAGCTTTAAGGGCTTTGTGGAGTGCTGCCTTTCCTGGAGAGGAACTCCATGGATTAATATCAGAGCAGTGGAAAGAAATGGGTTGGCAGGGAAAAGATCCATCTACAGATTTTAGGTATGCCTGGACTTTTCTTTGATCCCTCGGACCTAATTGGCAGAAATTCTACCCATCTAATTGCTTATGGCTTTGAACATTTGGATATTATTCTTCAGGGGTGGTGGTTTCATATCGTTGGAAAATTTGTTATACTTTGCGAGAAACTTTCCAGTATGCACTCTCTCTCTTTCTCACTGTTCCTTATTGTCTCTCATTTCTCTGCCTGTTATTTCCTCCTTCAATCATAATGCCATGGTGCATTTAATTGGATTTTCTGGTGCTGATTTGAACACTGATACTTGGTGTTGTATCTTAAGGCACTTGTCATGTTTGCTGTCTTTGATTTCTCTTCAGTTGTGTATATTAAGAATATTGACTTTAACTGATACTCACCAAATTTTCTCATAGAAATCGTTTCAAGATCTACTTCAGAAGAAGGAAGGTGATCGTGCATTGTGGGAATATCCCTTTGCTGTAGCTGGTGTAAACATCACATTCATGCTAATTCAAATGCTTGACCTTGAAGCAGGTGAATTCTGAGACTCATATCTTAATGATTTCGTCTGTTGTCCTTTGACCTTTTTCTTTTCTTTTCTATTCAAAAGCAATTTGCCTCTTTCTCAATGGACCTAAGTCCTGTTAACTTCCTCAACCATAGTTCTTTCCTCTCCGCCAATTGCTTTCATCAGAAAATTCTTGGTTCAGTATATACCTGTTTAATTGTCAAGTTTGTTACTAACTAAAGAAGTTTGATTTTCTGAATATACATACATTATTGTTGTAGATAGTATCAAATACCAATCAGGTTGACAACGTGTTGTACAGATATTTCCATTTCTTGTTTATTCATTAACTGGATTTGAGCAAGGTTCTTTTTCCTTGTTTATGGGATTGTAATTGCTTTTGATGTGATGACTTGTGTCATCTTTTCTTCATTTCTAACATAAGAGTACCTGTACTGCGAGTGGCATGATTTGTGCACAGAAATATCTTTACCGAACTTGTGAAAAAGGTTTTCCATGAAACAAGTTACTTGGTGGGTTGGATGTTGTATAATCTGTTGCCTCATCTTTGCAGTGAAACCCAGAACACTTGTGGGAGCCACCTTCTTGAAGTTTCTTGCTGGTAATGGTTTTCATCATCTCTCTTTACCCCATTTGAGTAATGTTACAAATCTAATGTGCCTTCTGCTCCATTAAATGAATTAGAAGTCCTTGCACATGTATGCGGAGTTTTCTTTGTTTTGCCAACAGAAAATGAATCAGCGTTTGAGCTTCTCTACTGTATCACATTCAAGCTAATGGACAACCAGTGGCTCTCCATGCATGCATCTTACATGGATTTCAATGTAAGTGTCTGCGTTCACTATTTTAGCAAAATCACTTTATGTTTTTTGCCTACTTATTGTTGGATCAGTCACAAATGCTCAACTGCTCATTATGTATTCCATTTCAAGCAATATTTACTAGTGCTCTTTGTTGCTATTATGATTATAATGACCCACCCTGAAAAATCTAATCGTGGCCCTCGTCCCATTTTTTTTTCCTTTGACCGACCATTTTTCATATTACTTATTCAATATTTTCCCTTTGTGGAATGGTTTAGGCTGTGATGAAAGCCACTCGACGGCAGCTGGAGAGGGAGCTTCTGCAAGAAGATGTTGCGAGTCTTGAAGACTTGCCTTCATTCACCCTTCTCAGTTGCTAGTGTTTTTGGAATATACAATACACCATTATATGCATAATCATGCAAAAGTCCTTACTTTGTCATGTTCGTGTTTGGGTTTTT